CTCCCAAAAATAAAACGAAAATCACCCATGGTAGATAAGATGATACCGAGAGGTGTATAGTGGCCTTTTCTAAGGGCTCAAGGACTATGAGAATATCCTTAATTATAATCCAACAATTTCCATTTGGGTAAAGGTCTTTGACAGACTGATAATCTGCAGTGAGTAAAACTAATGCTGGCTGAAGTTGTTCTAAACGCTTTAACATATAATAAGTTGAGTTCCAGTGGGTTTTCACATTCAAAATAGGTTTGCGATAATTAATTCTTTTTAAACACACAAACCGCAAAGTTCATCACAAAGGCAAGTTGAATCTTTAATTTTGATCATTAATTCACATACTTTATCAACTGAATTACTAACTAATTCTAACCCTTGCTTCACACCTAAGTTCAGAACATGTGCTGCACAACGATAATGTGAAAAAGTCTTTGAAAAAATTTCAGTATCAAGTGCATTAGCAATTTCTCTTCCACACACCAACATTGCAGATTTGTTGTCTGTAGTTAACGCAATAACCTTATCAGAAATATGGAATTTATTTAAACATGCAGAATTTCTTGTGCAATGTTTACTCCTGAATGTCTATTAGTAAAAGGATGATGTCAAGAAGGAAATTACAGAGACACCAATTTGAATCTACATAATGTATTGTTGGTCCCAAAAAGGCCTCCTTGTTTATAGAAGTCTACATATCAGTTGTCAATGAATATCTTTACTCAATTTGACAAAGTTCATTAATGATTTCATTTGTTGGTTATTGAACGTATCAATTATATAATCTTTTGCTTGATGTCTTTCAAGAATAGTGTAACGTGGACAGAAATATATAGTTGATAAATGCTCTAAAATAGGGGTTATCAACTACAGTAAAAGGTTGTAGATCATAAACTAACCATCAAATAAGGTATTTAGTGGTGTGTTCATTTTGTTCTAACTCACCAAAGGGATTCAGTCTAGTTGTGGTGGCTTTTTGTTTCATGGAAGATGTTTCTCAGCTATTATCTTATACATCACTAAAATTTTGACTAATAGACTCATCGGGATGGACATAAGGATTTATGCCATCAAAGTCATCTTGATAGAGGTCGCTAAACTCTTGATTGTTGATCCATTATTATACGTTTATATAGAGAGAGAATTAAAAAAAAAAATCAGGCGTTGAGAGGAATAAAAAAGCAATAAAAAAGTGTATATTATTGTAATATCAGTTTTAATTATTATGTTGAAGATGCAAAAGGATAGCTATTCTTTTTATATTAGTTGTAAAAGAATAGATTGCCATGATTATTTTATCATTTAAAGAAATGTGAAAGCATTAAATAGGTTTCTATCCAAATAAGGTTTATTCGAATTATTTGTTTTATTCGTTATTATTATTATTATTATTATGAATTTGAGCATTCGAATTACATTGAACTAATACTAATACTAATACTAATACTAATACTAACACTAACACTGATACTAATAATATAATTTGAATGACAAAAAAAGATATGCACATTGCTAATCCCAACCCGATTAAAAATTTTTTTATCTATTTTCCCTTAGTCCCTTATATATATTGTGATAATAATAATAAATACTAGTAGCAGGCATTTTTCTTAAGTCATAGTACTAGCAACCAGTATGTAGTAATGTAGATTATAAATATAATTATTGTAATTTATATTATCTTTGTTAAATTCGAATAAGAGCTTGTATTATGAATAGAAATCCTACGCGACATGCATATATCTGACCAGACTGATATTGTAAATATTGCTTAAGATTCATGGTGAATTTACCTCGGGGTTTCCATTTATTGTTGATACATATATATAGTGATCCAAATGACGAAACTTTTGACTTTAGTCATTGACGTAACTAAAGTACTGACTAAAGATAGTTTCTCACTAGGGCCGTTTTGACGATTTGACTAAAGTAAAACCACTTGACACAAGTAAAACCATTTGACGTAATCAAAAACATTTGACATAAGTAAAAATGCTTGACGTAAGTAAAAACACCAGCAATAATGATAATGATAAAATAGATTTATCAAAAGTTACATTATGCAAAAATGTGTCTCGGGATGAATAAATAATTATCATTATTGTGTGTATATTGCAATGACACAAGAAGAATAATTATCATTGGAAGTTACGAATGTTATCATTTGAATTAGAAATTAAACAAATATATATAATTATAATGAAACTACTTATTTTTTCCGTGTATTCTCTTTAATGTCTCTTTTCTTTTATTACTTTTCATAAAATGAAAAAAACCAAATTGTTAATTTGAATTTTGACTTTGAAGTTAGCTACGCGTAATGTTAACACGCAATAATATTAACAATGTGCTTGAATTTGAAACATACATAGGCTGGTACGTAGAATGACTTTTACACACAGATACATGAAAAAGATTTAGATTTACATAGTGGTAATATACTTGTGCAAGCAGGTGGTTGTTATATTACAAATTTGGGATTATGTGGATCAATTGATGAAAAAGAACATCAAAGAATTAGATTTGCAGGTCATCCACAATTTGACGATAGAGCTCACGATCATTGTTTAATTTTTGATATCAATATAAAAAGCTTTTGCGTAGAATTTTCATTTGATAATAATTATACACTAAAATTAATTATAAAGTACACAATTATACGAATCCATAATTGATTTTATCTATCCTGATCATGTATCATGCATGAGTCTTTGGTTAACATAAAAATAAATGTTATGCTCCATGTTTTCAAGTTCGTTTTATTGATCCATGAAAAATGAGTCATTCTTAGAACTAAGATGATCCACTCAAATATGAAAATATTCCTTCATGATACGTGTATATATACAGTGTGGGACAAAAAATTTTGCCTTCAATGTTGATGTAATTAAAACCTGTATACTTATTAAATTTAAAGAGTAT